GGTTTTTCCACTAATTTTTGCTTTTAGGATATGAACTTTCAGGGACAATCCAATTGAAAGTAGTATAGTCAATTGTTAAGCCTGGAGGTTCTGGAGTCATAATGGCCAATAATTGCAAATCTCAGCTCCATCATTGACCAAATTAGAAACATGAAAATATCTATTAATAAATGGATAAACACATTGTGATATATTCATGCAATGGTGTGCTACACAGCCATGAAATGAACATGGATTGCCTCACAAATAAATTGTTGAATGAACAAAGCAAGTTTTAGGGCAATTTGTATACTATGATATCATTACTTCAGTTCTTAAATATCTACAAAACACCACCACATACTATACAGGGTTCCATAAGTGGGTGAGAAAGCAGAAAGAAACACGTGAGAATTATAAACACCTCATTCAGGAGTGTGGTTACTGCTGATGGAAGAGTAGTATAAAAAGAGATTCTGGGATGGGCATGGTGACTTATACCTGTAATCCCAGCACTTTGGGTGGTCGAGATGGGAGGATCACCTGAGGTCAGGAGTTCAAGACCAGCTTAACCAACACGATGAAACCCCGTCTCTGCTAAAAATACAAAATTAGCCAGGAATGGTGGCACATATGTGTAATCTCAGCTACTCAAGAGGCTGAGGCAGGAGAATCGCTTGAACCTGGAAGGTGAAGGTGTGGTGAGCCAAGATAGTGCCACGGCACTACAGCCTGGGCAACATGAGCAAAACTCCACCTCAAAGAAAAAAGAGATTCCATTATTTTGTAATGGTTCAGTTGTTAGGTTAGGAGATAGGTGTTTATTATTATTATAGTATCATTTATTTTTTGTATACCTGAAATATTATGTAATATATTTTTCATGATTACATCATAGATTCAGCTGTTTTTGTTGACATTACATAAACACTTTAAATATTTCTCCGTCAGGACATTTACACGTAGATACACAATAGTATAATGAGTTTCTCTCATTCTTAGAAAGTATTTTTTTGGAAGGTATATTAACAATAAACAATCTAGTCGACTTCCTAGGGCAAAAATAATCTTTAGAAACAGAACATGACACAAAAATTCTAAGATTATAAAATGAAAGATTAATTTCTAGCATATGTTCTCTACCTTTAAAATTATTGGACAAATATTCTATCTATGTTTAGAAAAATATATACTGGAAACAACCATTTTCCATTCTGAGTTAGAATGCAATTAAATATAGTTCCTAGTTAGGAGATTAAAGACAATATTTTGTAAATCACATTATTATGAATGAATTAACCTGAAATTATAATCTACAAAAGAAAAAGTACTAGGTTTCTACTTCCAAATAAAAGGTATATCGGATTATGAAAATATAATTTAATAATGAAAACTTTCCAATTATCAATTTGTATTTTTTTCTTTTCTCTCTTTGTTTTGCTTTGTTTGTTTGTTTTCTGAGATGGAGACTAACTCTGTTGCCCATGCTGGAGTGCTGTGGCACAATCTGGGCTCACGCAACCTCCACCTACTGGGTTCAAGTGATTCTCCTGCCCTAGGCTCCTGAGTAACTGGGATTACAGGCATATGCCACCATTCCTGGCTAATTTTTGCATTTTTAGTAGAGACAGGGTTTCACCATATTGGCCAGGCTAGTCTCCAACTCCTGACCTTAAGTGGTCCACCTGCCTCAGCCTCCCAAAGTGCTGGGATTACAGGCATGAGCTGCCACACCTGCTCCAACTGTATTTTTTCAATGCATTTAATATATTGTCTCCAATATTATGCATATTTGTGTTATGTGCTTCATTCAATAAAATAAAGTTGTATAGTTCTGACAGACGTTTTTCTTATTCCTGGTTGTCTTTACATATTATACTAATTTTCAGGTCCTTACAGGTATTTGAGTTTAAAAATCACTAGTTTATAGGCCACAACACTATAAAAACATGTAAAGAGATGTTGCTGTGGCAAAATTATATGCAATATCCATCACCAAACACAATGATGAACCTTTAGCTTGGTGTACCTTCATAAAAGTCAATTCACCATTTATACCAGTGATATGGTTTGGCTGTGTCCCCACCCAAATCTCACCTTGAATTGTAATAATCCCTGTGTCTCAAGGTTGGGGCCAGGTGAAAATAACTGAATCGTGGAGCAGTTTCCCCATACTGTTCTCATGGTAATGAATAAGTCTCAGGAGAAAGATGGAGGCCAGAAGACTCAGCCAGTCCTTCCATGTTCCTCTGCCTGCTTTTATCCTAGATGGCAGCTGATTAGATGGTGCACACCCAAATTGAGGGTGGGTCTGCCTCTCCCAGTTCCCCAACTCAAATGTTAATCTCCTTTGGCAACACCCTCACAGACACATGCAGGAACAATACTTTGCATCCTTCAATCCAATCAAGTTGATACTCAATATTAACAAAGGATGGAAAGAGAGAAGCCAAGGATAATAGCCACACTTCATGATTCAGGCAACTGAAAAAATGGTCTTTGCATTCAGAGACATGGAACATAAGAGAATAAACATGTTTTAGCCATGGTACAGCAATTAATACATTTTAGGGCATGGTGACTTTGGGGTGTCTGTGAAGCATCTCAGTGAAAAATATAACTAGTCAAAGATATATAGATCTGAAGCTCTCTGATAAAGTAATCTGATATAGGACTAGCTCTCTGGCATAGGAATCAGCTTCATGAACATGGTGATTAAAACCTTGATATGAAGAAAGGAGTAATAAGTACATAATTTGAGGAATAGGCAGAGGAGAAAATAATACTTTCAGAGGCCAGGGAGAAGGGAGAAAATCTGGAAGAACATAAAATTACGGAGATAAAGAAAAAGATTATATAATGTAAGCTGATGTGGGCCCCTGCCACAAGATCAAGTGGCATAAAGACTGAAAGGAGCCCATTTAATTCAAGTAGGAGTCATCACTTAGTGATATGGTCATAGTGGAACTCAGATTGGCATGAACTGAGGAGGATTATCCAAGTAAAACAAAACACAACTATAATAATTCAAAGCCCTCCAAAGGTACACGTCTTTTGATTCAGCAGTTACATTTCTGATATCTTAGCCTAAGAAAATTATAACAAATACAACTTTTACAAATCTGTTTTGAAAATGTGGTGGCTATTTATTTGGGTTTCATACTTTTAATTACTTCATCCATCAATTTTTTTTAACTTCTTTGTGTCTTGTAACTGCTCAGCTCATATAGTCATGAAGTTTAGCTCCAGTTAGCCCACTTCCACCTGGTTTCACTGGGTTCAAGTGATTGCCCATCCTTTTACACTAAGGATGCATGCACTCAGCTGTTCACTGTGCATTGGGTGTTTTAGGAAATAGAATACTAACCAAAGTTAATTTAAAGAAGAAATGTTATTTGAATATTAGAACTCATCCAGTTGTAACTTCATCTGCTGTGTTTGATGACACTGCTTATAGTTGACCCTACTGGAGAGGAGGAACAGCTGACAACAGGAACCTTAACAATAGTAATCATGAGGAAGGCAGGCTCTGCTGTCTCAAACCACGTGGAAGTGGGCTAACTGGAGCTAAACTCCACGACTATATGAGCTGAGCAGTTACAAGACACAAAGAAGTTTAAAAAAAACTGATGGATGAAGCAGTTAAAAGTATGAAACCCAAATAAATAGTTACCACATTTTCAAAACAGATTTGTAAAAGTTGTATTTGTTAACACTGTGCACATTTTATACTAAATAAATATCAAACTACGTTCTTCTGAAAAAATAAAAAGATGCTGGGTATCATGCTATTTAATTATAAACATTATCTTGCTCATTTCTCAGAATAATTCTATGTGATATTTACTATAATTACTCTATAACTATAATTTATAGATTAAGAAATGGAAGTTAAAGAGACTTGGTAACTTAATCAAGGATGTTCAGCTAGTAAAGGCCAGATCCAGGAATCAAAACCAGGACTGATTTGAAAAACTTTATTCTTGTCCACCACACTTCACGAGAAGATTTGTGGTTATGCAATTGTTAAAGAAATCATATACTTTTATAGCTGAATAAATAAATCATACACTCACTCTTTCACCTGAATGCTATGTACATATTAAATAATATATTATCAAAATCTACATTTTGACATGAAAACATATATATAACATAGTGTTACCTTAATCTTGAGCATATAGGCTACAAAATAACATGTATAATATGTTCCTATTGTTCTATGTGAACCAGTGTTTGTCTATCATCTATCCACCCATCTATCCATCTATCTACCTACCTACTCATCTTGAAAGAATACATCCTGAGGTGCTAACAATGACTATAGCTAAATGTACAAGGTTATAAATGTCTTTTGTTTTCTCAATTTTCCTTGTTAATATTTTCCAGCCATCTTTTGTCATGAGCACATGTAGCTTTTATAGTAGGGAAAATAAAAGCAAATTTTCAAATTTAATATGCAATTAAAAACTCTTTGATAATAGGACTTGCGTATTGTTCACCACAGTCCACTGCTGTATCCAGCAGAGTGCCATGCTCAAGAATCAATGAAGAGTCACCATGAGGTCTGAAAGGTGAGCAGGTGGTGCCAGAGAGTCGTCCATATCAAGGGGAATGAGCAGAGCTCCAGCAAATGGAACAAATAGAATAGCAAGGACCTGCTCATCTTTTCTTAACATTTTTAACTTGACATAATTTCAGACTTGTGGAAATATTGTAAGGAAATTACAAATAACTTCCAGCTACCTTTTATTCAGATTCAACACTTGCTAAAACTTTACTACATTTCTCTTCCCCCCGTATATCAAGGAGATTTAGACACGGAGGAAGCACAAGTGTGTGTTGAGGTATTTTGCTTTCCAAATTCTCCTTAAACTGTTCCTCTGTTAGAACTCCCCTGGCAGGAACTCCTTGTCACCACTAGGGCTAGAGACTCTCTTCCCTTCTTTGCCCCGCCTGCTCCCTTTGCCAAGAACACTGAACAGGAAGAAGTATTTCTTGGGATTGCTGCCAAGGCAGAGACTGTGAAGAAGGAAGAACTTTGCCTGAGCAGAAGGAACATATTCTCAGGAGACGGGGCCCCTGACAGCCACACCAAGTATTAGACCACCAGGAAGACCCCCATTTGCAAGCCAGCCCAGCCTTCCAGAGAGAAAGAGGTGAGTCTGTCTGTCCTGGCTGCACAGACTATTGACTCTTCCCCAATGCCAAGATCTTCAGGGATGCCTGCCCTGTCTATAGTCACCTACCCCTGGTGTTTGGGAGGGTAAGGCTTCTGACAACTTAAGTCAGTATGGTGAAGACTACAAACTATGGTGAAGACTACAAACTAAGGTCCTTGGAAACAGGGGTCATTTCAAGGATAAGGGTTCTCAAAATACAGGAGAGGGTTTACTTGTTGGACAGAATTTAGGAGGTCACAAATGGGGCCAGACTGAGGCCTAGACCAGTGAATGAGTGAAGGAGAGGCAGCGTTCCAAGTTCAAAGGCTCCAATCAATACATGGTTCTTTCTGTGTTCTGGGCCCATGATGGCTCGCCTCCTGGTACCTGTTAATGCCTTGCCTGTCTTCCAAGCCTCCCTTGCTCTGGGTTCTCTGAGCCAGGCGTCCCCAAACTATGGCCCGCGGGCCGCATGCAGCCCCCTGAGGCCATTTATCCGGCCCCCCACTGCACTTCAGGAAGGGGCACCTCTTTCATTGGTGGTCAGTGAGAGGAGCACAGTATGTGGCGGCCCTCCAACAGTCTGAGGGACAGTGAACTGGCCCCCTGTGTAAAAAGTTTGGGGACGCCTGCTGAGCGAAAGGCTGGGATATGTCCTGGTGAAAAGCAGCCTTGTTCCTGAATTCTGATCCTGTTATAATCTAATCTTCACAGGCCCCTGCAGCTCCTTCATCATGAACTGGCACATGATCATCTCTGGGCTGATTGTGGTGGTGATTAAAGTTGTTGGAACAACCTTCTTTCTGCTTTATTGTGAGTATTTGGGCAACCTCTTGCCCTAACCTCTGTGTTGTCTTGCTCATTGACTCCTCTGTCAGAATGCAAGGTTGAGTGTAAAGGTCAGGTACCCAAGTCTTTACACCTGAGAGCAACTGACCCAAACTGAGGTCAATTAGCAATGCCTTTCTCACTCCCAAGCACACACTGGGCCGGGCTCCTTGGTCTACCTTGGAGATATAGAACTCACAAGTTTCTGCTGGTTAGAACCCCATGCAAAGCTTTTGCTTGTGGAGTATTAGTTGGGTGATCTCAGCTGAAGTACTTAGCAGTGCTTGTTATTGTTGCCAAAATCTAAAAATACAGCTCCAGTTCAACGTGATGATAAGGCCATGATAAGAGATGAATTATAATGTAACAGGATTTAACTGAGAAAGAAATTTCTGTCTGTGTACATATAAATTAATTCATCCAAATGCCTAGTAAAAGAAGGACTTCGCTATCCTATCAAAGGATTTCACTGCAATCAGAAACTTGAAACTTCTCCAGCCCCAGAAGCCAGGAGGGAAAACAAATGAGGAAGGAAATGTGAGTAAGAGGCAGTAGTTAACAAAGAAGTGTCTTCCTCATGATGCAATCTGAAGGTGAAATTCCTATCAAGTCAGACAGCAGGAAAGAAATACGAATAAGTGAATGTAGTCACAAACCACATTTACGCATCTTCACTGAGTCAGAGAGTTCAGTATTTCCCACTAACAGTCACAGTACTCTGGCAGCCCCTGTGCTGAGGTTTGTTTGCTATATTCATCCTGCAGTCACATTTGGGGCTGAGCCAACAGCTGACTTTCTTTGCAGTCCCACAGATTTTTAACAAAAGTGACGATGGTTTCACCACCACCACCGGGAGCTATGGAACAGGTAATCTGCACGGTGGTACATCTCCCCATCCTCCTGCTACTTCCATGCTGAATTATTAGAGACCTTCCACACAGCCTCCTTTCCCAAGAAATTCTTTTGGACAAATGTTCCATAAAGATCTTCTAATGAATTCCCTTTCTTTTATATATGTGAAAACCAAGAGCAGATTGAGGCAAATTCCTGATCATCAGTTTTCCTCATGGATACGAGGGTAATTTATATCTAATCATTGTAATAGAATGCAAAAGTGCTTAATAGCTAGTAACTATGGGAGATTGAGAGATGAGTGGGGCATGGTTTTCCTCTCCCTATTAAACCAGCTTCCTCTTGTAGTCTTACCCAAGAACATCCTCCCTCCCTCTCACTTCCTCTTAAGACACCTATTACTACTGAGATCGTTAGGAGAAAGACCATTTCGAAAATATTTATTGAATCCTCTCAGTTATAATCTCAAAGTCGTTTCTGATGAAAACCAGGCTAATACATCTTAGAGTCTATGAACTGGGTACTGAAATAAAAAGTGAATGCCAATTTGTTTCATTTGAGATAAATGTAAGTAATTTGATGTCAGAGTACAGTTGTCTTCAACCACAATGGACAAATAACTGGCACCCCTGATGTGATGTTTGACCAGCCTCTGAAGCCATTGCAGCTGCCTGCTCAGACAGCCAGTGTTCCCAGGAAAATGAGGCCCCCATATGGGTTTCTAGAAATGAATGGACCCTTCTCTGCTTTTAGAAAATCTCCATAAGGTTCACCTGCTTCCTTGTCTGCCAAAACCCCTTTGGCCCTGAAATTTTGTTAAAATTAGCCTCAGTCCTTAGAGCTAATACAGTGCCGATGAGAAAACAGTCCCAGAGCTGCCTGGGATTATGAGTTTTCATATTGAGTTTGGGACACCAGAAATAGAAAGAACAGCAAAGATGCTATGTGGAGACTTGGGGAGAAGTACTCCAAACAGTTGTTTGGAGAAAACACTGTCAAAGGTTTCTGTAAGATAAGAATATGAGAGTTTCCCTCTGATACTAAATTCCTCCATTATTTTCCTTTCTCTTGTTCTTTTTCTCAGGATTTGATGCCTACTGCTACATCAAAAAAAAAAAAAAAAAAGGGAGACAGGAAATAGGATTTGGGTGTCAAGCATGACAAGTAATGGTAGTAGTTAGATGGAAGGCTCAAAGAAATTTTCTGAAATGTTCTAGATCAGAGTGGCCAAGAGCTTCTTGTCATCTCCATGATTCAGAGATAGTCACACAGCCCATACTCTGATGTTTCTGTTTCTGTGTTGTATTCATCATACAGTAACGTTCAGGTTTTCTTTTCACTTCAGTCTCACAGATTTTTGGGAGCAGTTCTCCAAGTCCCAACAGCTTCCCCGCGACAAGGAGCTCTGGAACAGGTAAAGTGCATGGTTACAACCTACTCTCTATCCCCTAGGCTCTTACGCACTGCATTCTTAGCGACTTCGCCCATTGTCTTTTTCTTATGGAACTTTTTTGCTCAAAGGGACCATAAAGATCTTCCAGTTCATTCTCTTTACATCTATTATTTTGGCTTTTATTTTTTAATTTTCTGAGTATATCGTATTTTCTAAGTTTCTGAGTATTGCCTCAAGCATTTATCTTTTGTGTTACAAACAAACTAAAGAATTACAAACTCTTAGTTATGTTTAAATCTGCAATTACACTATGTTTTGCTATAGTCACTTGTTGTGCCAGCAAATACTAGGTCTTATTTATTCTTTCTATTTTTCAGTACCCATTAACAAGCCCCACTTCTCCCCCATACCTCCCCACCAACTACCCTTCCCAGCCTCCGGTCACCATCCATCTATGCTCTATCTCCATGAGTTTAATTGTTTTAAATTTTAGCTCCTGTAAATAAGTGAAAACATGCAAAGTTTGTCTTTCTCTGCCTGGCTTATTTCATGTAACATAATAACCTCCAGTTCGATTCATGTTGTTGCAAATGACAGGATCTGATTTTTTTATGGATGAACAGTACTCCATTGTGTATATGTACCACATTTCTTCATCCATTCATCTGTTGATAGACACTTAGGTTATTTCCAAATCTTGGCTATTGTGAACCATGTTGCAATAAAAACAGGAGTGCAGATATCTCTTCAATATACTGATTTCCTTTCTTTTGAAACTGTACTTAGAAGTAGGATCACTGGGTCATGTGTTAGCTCTATTTATAGTTGTTTGAGGAGCCTCCAAACTCTTCTCCACCGTTGCTGTACTAGTTTACATTCCCAGCAACAGTGTATGAGGGTTCCCTTTTCTCCGGATCCTCTCCTGCATTGGTTATTGCCAGGCTTTTGGATAAAAGCCATTTTAACTGGGTTGAGATGATATCTCATTGTAGTTTTGATTTGAAATTCTATACTGAGGAATGGTGTTGAGCACCTTTCCATGTTTATATCTGCCATTTGTATGACTTCTTTAGAGAAATGTCTATTTAGATATTTTGCCCAATTTTTAACTGATCATTAGATTCTTTTTTTCCTATACAGTTTTTTAGGTTCCTTACATATTCTGGTTATTAATCTCTTGACAAATGGGTAGTTTTCAAACATTTTCTTCCATTCTGTGGGTTGTCTATTCACGTTGTTGATTGTTTCCTTTGCTAAGCAGAAGCTTTTTAACTTGATATGATCTCATTTATCTATTTCTCCTTTGGTTGCCTGTGCTTGTGGTATACTAGTCAAGAAATCTTTGCTCACTTCAATGTCCTATAGAGTTTCCCCAAAGTTTTCTTGCATTTTCATAACTTGAGATTTTCGACTTATGTCTTTTATCCACTTTGATTTGGGTTTTGTATATGTCAAGAGATAGGGGGTCTCGTTTTATTCTTCTGCATATGAATATCCAATTTCCCAACACCATTTATTGAAGACACTGTCCCTTCCTCAATGCATGTTCTTGGTACCTTTGTCAAAAATGAGTTCACTGTAGATATATGGGATTATTTCTGGGTTCTCTCTTCTGTTCCAGTTACACGTCTGTTGTTATGCCAGTACCATGGCATTTTGGTTACTAAAACTCTGTAGTATAATTAGAAGTCAAGTGACGTGACTCCTCCAGTTTTGTTACTTTTTTGCTTGGGATAGCTTTGGGCAGTCTGAGTCTTCTATGGCTTCATGTACATTTTAGGATACTTTTTTCTTAAAAATTATGTGAAGAATGTCACTGGGTTTTTGACAAAGATTGCATTAAATCTGCAGATTGCTTTGGGTAGTGTGAACATTTTAACAATATTGATTCTTCCAATCCATGAACATGGAATATTTTTCAATTTTTTGGTGCCCTTGTCAATTTCTTTCACCAGAGTTTTATAGTTTTCATTGGTCAGATCTTTCATTTCATTAGTTAATTCATAGATATTTTATTATATTTGTAGCTATTATAAATGGGATTAGTCTTTTAATTTCTTTTCAGAGTGTTCACTGTTGGCATATAGAAATGCTACTAATTTTTGTCTGTTGATTTTGTATCCTGAAACTTTACTGAATTTGTTTATCAGTTTTAATAGCATTTTGGTGGAATCTTTAGGTTTTTACAAACATAAGATCATATTATCTGCAAAGAAGGATAATTTGACTTCTTCCTTTCCAACTTGGATGTCTTTTATTTCTTTCTCGTCTGACTGCTCTAGCTAAGCCTTCAAGTACTATACTGAAAACCAGTGATAAAAGTGGGTGCAGCCTTGCCATGTTCCAGATCTTACAGGATAGGCTTTCATTTTTTCCCCATTCAATATGATGCTAGCTGTGGGTCTGTCACATATGGCTTTTATTTTGTTGAGGGATGTTTCTTCAATACTCTGTTTTTTGAGAGTTTTTATCATGAAGGGATGTTGACTTTTATCAAATAATTTTTCAGCATTAAAATGATCATATGGTTTTTGTCCTTCATTCCATTGATATAATGTATTACATTGATTAATTTGCATATGTTGAACCATTCTTGCATTCCTGGGTTAAATCCCACTTGGTCATGATGAATGATCTTTTTAATATGTTGTTGAATTCAGCTTGCTAATATTTTGTTGAGGTATTTTGCATCAATACTGATCACTACATTTGCCTGTAGTTTTCTGTTTTTGGTGTGTCTCAATCTGGTTTTGGTATCAGGGTAATGTAGGCTTTATAGAATAAGTTTGGAACTCTTCCCTCCTCCTCTATTTTTCAGAACAGTTTGACTAGAATTGGTAATAATTCTTCTTTAATACTTCAGCAGTAAAGCCATTGGGTCCTGGGCTTTTCTTTATTGGGAGAGTTTTTATCATGGCTTTGATCTCATTACTTGTTATTGATCTGTTCAGGTTTTGGATTTCTTTGTGGTTCAATATTAGTAGATTGTATGTGTCTAGGAATTTGTTCATTTCTTCAAGATTTTCCAATATATTGGCATATAGTTGCTCAGAATAGTCACTAATGATCCTCTGAATTTTTGTGCCATCCATTGTAATGTCTCATTTTTCATCTCTGTTTTTATTAATTTCAGCCTTCTCTCATTTTTTTTCTTGGTCTGGCTAAAGGTTTATTGATTTTGCTTATCTTTTCAAAAAGCCAACTTTTGTTGCATTGATGTTTTGTGTTGTTTTCTTCATTTCCATTTATTTCAGCTTTGATTTTATTATTTCTTTTGTTCTACTAATTTTGGCTTTGATTTGTGCTTGCTTTTTAGGTCTTTAAGATTTATCATCAGGTTTTTGTTTGAAGTTTTCCTTTTTTTTTTTTAATGTAGACATTTATGGGTATAAACTTCTATCTTAATATCCAATAGGTTTTGATATGTTGTGTTTTCATTATCATTTGTTTCAGGAAATTTTTCAATTCCCTTCTTAATGTCTTTGTTAACTGACTGGTCATCCAGGAGCATATTGTTTAATTTCCATGTATTTATACAGTTTCCAAATTTTCTCTTGTTACTGACTTCTAGTTTAATTCCATTGTGGTCAGAGAAGATGCTTAATATTATTTCAATTTTTTGAATGTTTTAAGACTTGTTTTGTTACCTAACATATGGTCTGTCCTTGGGAATAATCCATATGCTGAGGAAAAGAATGTGTATTCTGTAGCTGATGAATAGAATGTGCTATAAATATCTATTATGTCCATTTGATCTATAGTATAGATGAAGTCCAATGTTACTTTGTTGATTTTTCCATCTGAAAGACTGGTCAAATGCTGAAAGCAGAATGTTAAATTCTCCTCTTGCTGAAATGGCCCTTTTATCATTATATAGTGACCTTTGTGTCTTCTTATAGTTTTGTCTATTCTGCCTAATATAAGTATGGCTGCTGTTGCTCCCTTTTGGTTTTCACTGGCATGGAATATCCCTTTTATCCCTTTATTTTCAGTCAGTTTGTGTCTTTATAGTTGGAGTGTGTTTCTTGCGGAAAATAGATCATTAGGGTCTTGTTTTTTCATCCATTTGGCCACTCTACATAGTTTGATTGGAAAGTTTAATCCATTTACATTCAATATTATTATTAATAAGTAAGCACGCACTTCTGCCATTTCGTTGTTTTCTTGTCGTTTTTCGGTCTTCTTTTCCCTTCTTTACTTCCTGTCTCCCTTTTAATGAAGGTGATTTTCTCTGGTGGTATGATTTAATTTCCTGCTTTTTGTGTATCTATTGCATGTTTTTTGATTCAAGGTTACTATGAGGCTTGCAAATACTATCTTATAACCCATTATTGTAAAGTGTTAACAACTTACCTCTTCTTGCATAAACAAACAAAGCTAGCAAAAAAAAAAGAAAATAAAACTCTACACTTTGTTTCCCAGTTTTTAACTTTTTGTTGTTTCCATTTATAACTTTGTTTTTACTATGTCTTGAAAAGTTGTAGTTATCATTTTTATTGGTTCATCTTTTAGTCTTTCTACTTAAGACTACTTTACATACCACAGTTACACTGTTACGACATTGTGTTTTTCTATGTACCTACTATAATCGAGTTTCATATATTCAGATGATTTCTTATTGCTCATTAACGTCCTTTGCTTTCAGATTAAAGAGCTACTTTTAGCATTTCTTATAGGACTGTTCTGTTGTTGATTAAATCCCTCAGTTTTTATTTTTCTGGAAAAGTCTTTATTTCTCCTTCATGTTTGAAAGATATTTTCATCAGATGTGCTATTCTAGGGTAAAGGGTTTTTTCCTTGTGCAACTTAAATATGACATGCCATTCTCTCCTGGACTGTAAGATTTCCACTGAAGAGTCTGCTGCCAGACATATTGGAGCTCCATTATACATTATTTGTTTCTTTTCTCTTGCTGTTTTTAGGATCCTTTCATTATCCTTGCCCTTTGGGAGTTTGATTATTAAGTGCCTTAAGGTGGTGGTCTTTGGGTTAAATCTGCTTGGTGTTCTCTAAGCTTCTTGTACTTGGATATTGATATCCTTCTCTAGGTTTGGGAAGTTCTCGTTATTATCCCTTTGAATAAACTTTCTACCTCCATCTCTTTCTCTACCTCCTCTTTAAGGCCAGTAACTCTTACACTTGCCCTTTTGAGGCTGTTTTTTAGATCTCACAGGTGTGTTTCATTGTTTCTTATTCTTTTTTCTTTTGTCTCTTCTGACTTTTGTGATCCCTCTGATTCTGTTATTAAGATATTCTGATGCATTCCTCAGTATGCGAATTTCATTTTTTAACTCCAGAATTTCTGATTTATCCTTTTTAATTATTTAATCTCTTGTTTAACTGATAGAATTCTGAATTTCTTCTCTGTGTTATCTTGAATTTCTTTGAGTTTCCTCAACCCAGCTATTTTGAATTTTCTGTACAAAAATTCACATATTTCTGTTTCTCCAGGATTGATCCCTGGTGTCTCACTTACCTCAATTAGTGAGGTCATGTTTTCCTGAATGGTCTTAATATTTGTGGATGTTCATCAGTGTCTGTGCATTAAAGAGTTAGGTATTTATCGTAGTCTTCACAGTCCGGGTTTGTTTATACCTGTCCTTCTTGGGAAGGCTTTCCAGGTATTCAAAAGGACTTGGGTGTTGTGATCTAAGCTCTATCTGCATGGGGGACATCCCAACTTCAGTAACACTGTGGGTCTTGCAGACTCCTAGAGGTACCCACCTTGCTGTTCTTGAATAAGATCTGAAAGAATTATCGGGATTACCAGACAGAGACGCTTATTCTTTTTCCTTACTTTCTCCCAAACAGAGTCTGTTTCTCTCTGCTGAGCTGCCTAGAGCTGAGAATGTGATGACACAAGCATTCCTGTGGCCACCACCACTGGGACTGCATTGGGTCAGACCTGAAGCCAGCACAGCACTGAGTCTCACCCAAAGCCCACTGTAACCACTACTTGGCTACTACTTATGTTTTATCAAGGTCCTAAGGCTCTGTAATCAGCACATGGTGAAGCCAGCCATGCCTGTGACCTTCCCTTAGGGAAGTGAGTTCCCCCAGGCCTCAAATAGGTCCAGAGATGCTATCTTAGAACCAGGAACTGGAGTCGAAACCTTATAAATCTACCTGGTCTTCTATCCTCCTGTGGCTGAGCTGAAACTCAAATCATGAGACACAGTCCTTTCCACTCTCCCTCCACTTCCCACAGACAGAGGAGCTCACCCTGTGACCACCACCACCCAAGGCCTACAGGGTCAGTGCCAGACTACCACCGATTTTTGTTGAAGGCTCAATGGCCCTTTGGTCAGCTTGTCATGAATGCCTAGAACACACCCTTTATATCTCTGGGCTCCTATCTGATCCAGGGCAGGTCCAGAAATGCGATCCAAAAGTCAAGGCCTGGAATCTTGGACCTCAAAAGCTTTCCTTTACCTCTCTTTGACCAGGCTGCTATATAACATGCAAGACAAAGCCTCCTTTACTTTTCTCTCTTCTTTTCTCAAGCAGAAGAATGTGCTGGGTCTCACCTCTGAGACATCTCAGTATCACCCAAGGCCAATAACATACTACCTAGGTATTGCTGCTGGTTATTCAGGGCCTAAGAACTCTTTCATCAGCAGGTGAGGGATCCTGTCAGGACAGTGTCCTTATCTTCAAGACAGAGGATTCCCTTTTGGCCCAGGGTATGTCTAGGTGTGTCTAGAAATATCTTTCAGAAACTAGGCTTTGAAATGGGGACCTCACAACTCTGCCTAGTGCCCTACTCTACTGTGGCTGAGCTGGTATCCAAGACAAAGCACTCTTTATTCTTCCCTCTCCTCTCCTCAAGTAGAAAGAAAGGGCCTCTTTCAATGCTGCAAGTCGTGCTTCTTGGGGTTTTGAGTGCAATGGCACAAGCATTCCATTGGCCACCCTGGCTGGTATCTCAGTAGGTAACCCCTAATTCTACCAGCTCAAAGCCCAGCTTAGCACAAGGACTTGCCTAGGAGTTGCAGTCCTTGTGGCCTAGACTACCTTTCAAGTTTATTTAGGGCCCAAAAGCAATTCAGCTCACAGTGGCAAGGCTTGCCAGAACTCAAGTTTCAACCACTGGCATGCAGTCATCTACATGCTCCCTTCGTGGTTGGGCATCAGCTGAGTTCAGCCCGTTTTGCCCTCCACAATGACAGGGAAGCACTGAGTCCAATGTAAAGTCTCAAAATCCCTGCACACTCCCTCTCCCATGCACATAGATTTTACCGTGCCAGCTGTCACTGCAGCAAGGATAGAGGAAGGGTGGTGTCAGCAATTCAAGACTGTCTTTCCTACCCTCTGCAATATCTCTTTGGTTATGGGAAATTAAACCCAGGTACTGAGTGTTCATCTAATTTTTTTTTTCTCATGTACATGTTTGTGCTTTTTTGTGTGCAGATAGTGTTCAAATTTGGTGTTCCTGTAGGGGATGACTCATGGAACCTTCTATTTGGCCATTGTGCTCTGCTCCTCCTTATTGTCCTTTTATATTACTGTTAGGGAACCGGACTAGACTGGGTGGAATTTGTTCCTGGATGGAGAATAATTTGTACCAATATGTTTGTTAAAAAAAAAAAAAAAACAAAAAACAAAAAACATGTATCGCTATTTCATGACTTAGTTTCAGGATTTATACCCCAAACCAGTAATCTCATACTCTCCTTTCTTAAACCTCTTCAGGCTGCCCGAAAGAGTGGGAATTTCATCAAGGAAGATGTTTTTTCTTATCCACTTCTGAATCACCTTGGAATGAAAGCAGAGAGTTTTGCGAAAGAAAAGGATCCACACTGGCAATTGTCAACACGCTAGAGAAACTGGTGAGGACACTGGAATGGTACAGTAAAGCCATATACTCCACACAGCCTCAGTGAACAGGTGGTATGGGGTGGAAATTTAGGGAGTGGGGATGGAATGGAGTAAGGAATGGAGAGGTGGCTGAAAAACTGAAGCTGTTTGTTCTGGACTAGGGGTTAGGAGACTGTTTTCAGTAGCAGTGAAGCAGCATGTTTTTCAGTTTTATTTAACCACAGAAATCCACACCTGTGGTCTTTTCTACAGGGCACAGCAATGAGCTGGTATCCTGGGGATGGGCCAAGACATTTAAAGTGCAGCAAATGACCAAATGAGCTGATGTGTGTAAAGTTGTTTAACAACTAAAAGAATACTTCACAGATGTGAAATGTCAATGTACCATCCCGGTCTGCATAGTAAACAAGGAAGATGTGGACTGACAACATTCGTAATATGAAAAACAAATAATCAGGTCATAGGACTGAATTTGCAGTTGATCATAATAATCATAAGGATGTATTATTATTCACATTTTATAAATGGAAACTAGGGCACAGAAAAGTAATTTGCCCAAAGTCGAACAACAGAATATGGAGTTGAATTTAGATCTCACTGACTCCAAAACCCATACTCTAATCAATTATTGACTATAATTTATTTTAGTCTATAGTTGCCTCTCCTTTGACTGCTAAGCATATAGCAAAGGAGAGGCAACTATAGACTAAAATAAATTATGTCTAAATGCTTTGACACTGTGCTACATACACTGTACGCCTGCTTATCTTGCTTCTATCCCTTTATTCCTCCTCTAAAAAGTTCTCCTGTGATTCAGAAGAATTTGTAAGAGGATCCTTTTCTCTGAATCTTGGCAATAGATGACCAAGGGATCTTGATGCTACAGACCTTCTAGGGATAGGTACCCACGTAGCAATGGAAAACGTCCTCAGATAGAAAACCAGGAGCAAGACGGGAATTAAAAGAGGAAAGGAGGGAAAGCAAAAGGAAGAGACAAATGTGGCAAGTCTGCCACACCCATTACGTTTTGTGGATTTCAATTTGCATCCTGGGTGATGAACAAGGTCATCATGACCAGCCTGACCAACATGGTGAAACTACGTCTCTGCTAAAAATTAGCCAGGTGAGATGGTGCACACCTGAAATCCCAGCTATTTAAGTAGCTGAGGCACAAGAATTGCTTGAATCCAGGAGGCAGAGGCTTCAGTGAGCCATGATTGTGCCACTACACTCCAGCCTAAGTGACAGAGCAAGACTGTCTCAAAAGAAAAAAAAAAAAAAAAAGGAAAAGAAAAAGACAGAGGTCATCATGCCAATGGTTTGCTGGTGATTCTCAAGTCTGTATCTCCAGCTCATCCTTCTCCTCCAAACAAGTATACCAAATTCCACTTTGTTTCAAGAGCCTCACAAACTATATTCAAAACTGAATGAATTACATTTGACCCCACCACTCCTCCTTCTGCATTCCAAATACTGGCGAGTAGTCATCTTACCCAAGATTGAAGGCTAAGAGTTTTCTCGAACTTTACCTTCTCTTTTCCTCCTCAATTATTTGTTAACCAAGTCCTGTTCTCTCTATGCCCACAACAAATAGTTCAGCTCTCACCTGGATTCTTCAGCATTCTTCTAATTATTCTCCTTGCCTCCAGTTTTGCCCTCTTTCTAGGTAACCTCCGCAGAACTGACATCATGATACCTTTAAGGCTCTAAACTGTCTGTGCCATTTTCCAAATTAAAGTGGCTTAAACCCCAGTTCTCCTAGCATGGCATATGTCAGGTTGATGACTACACCAAATGTCACACTCAGGGTCAGGCTCCAAGCTGAGGTCCGAGGAGAGTGGGTGGGTGGCAGATAGCTGAAAGAACACTTAGGGGGCCATAAGCAGGTGGCATGTAGTTTGTCGTTTTCAGCAGCTCTCTCATAAGCAGCCTTCTCACACTGTGTCTGTCTCAGCTGCTTGCTCCTGCCACTCCCACACACAGCCGCGCAGCCAGCTGTCCCTTGCCTTCAGGGTCAGCAGCTTAATTCTTTCTCTCTCTGGGCATGAGTGCATGCTGAGCCCTGTCCTGGCTCCCCTCTGGCCCTCTGCAAGATCTTGCAGATGGACAGGTTCAGTTCTCTCTCCCTCTGGGCACCACCAGTGCCTGCACAAGTGCCTGTACCATGTCAAGACGTGTTTAGCCAAGCCGAGCTGCATGCACAGCCATCGGCAGGTCAGTTATACCTTTTTCAAGCAATAATGGCTCCAAGCCAAGCATGAGTTTACACAAACAGGTTATAGAACAATTGTATATGCACTTGCTATATAGGCCTATGCCCTAAACTCGCTGAGTCACTTTGGCCTGGATGTCCGCCTTGACCTATTCCTTGACCAAAGCACATCCACGTACCTTACAGCATGCAGGCCTTGCACAGTGCAACCTTTGTGCCTTCCCTCCAGCCTCATCTCTCAAACCACCTCCCTGCCACCTCTGCATTAGTGACGCTGAGCATCCTGTGTTCCTCAAATGCTCCAGGCTGCTTCCTCGCCTGCCTGTAGTCCATGCTCTCTCTTCCAGGAAGTCCATACCCTCCCTTACAGTTTGCCTGGCAAACTTAGCCTAAAATTCATCTCAGGTATCACCTCATCAATCATTCTAGAAAAGCTTCAGATCTATGTAGAATAATCACTTCCTCCTTTCTGCCCCTTCCAGATCTAGTATACAATTTCCTAGTACTACACCTGAGATACCTCATTATGCTAGTTAAGTTGGTTGTCTTCCCTCATTAAACTTGTGCGGACCGCTGACTTTTTAATAATGGTGATAAAATCTATGTACCTCTTCCCAGAAACATTACATAAGCAAAATATTTTTTCATAAAATTCCAGTGACTTCACAGTTTTCCTGGGAAACTATCAATGCCTTCCAGCATGAGAATTCAGAATTAAGGACTCTTGTTTTAGACCATGGGTCAGAGAACTTTCTTTAAAAAGGGCCAGATATATACATTTGAAGCTTTTCAGGGCATTGATCTCTATTACAACTATTCAACTCTGCTGTTGTAGCTTGAAAGCAGCCATAGACAGTATGTGAACAATGGGCATGGGTGCATTTCAATAAAACATTTACCGAATCAGGATGCAGGCTGGATTTGACCCACTGGCTGTAGTTTGCCAACCCTCTTGATCATAATTTCTTTGAGGAGAAATATACTTGTTTCCATATCCTCAGCCTAGTACAATGCATGGCACATAATGGACACTCAAAAGATGTTTGGTAAATGAGAAAATTCAGTAATTCATTAAAAAGTAATGAAATAAGATGTTTCAGAAAAGGAGAACATTGAAATGTTTCAGAAAAAGAGAACACTGAAAATTCAATAATCCATTAAAAAGTGATGAAATAAGATGTTTCAAAAAAGGAGAAACTAAGGCAATTGCCATGGGGATGGAAAGAATGAGACTCGGATACCCACTGACTATGGGAGGTATGTGACGAGTATAGGAAACACTTCTGGCTGAAATGATTTATAATTTATCAATTAATTACAGAACAAAGATGTCTAGGACTAGTGTCAAATTAGCAGATATTCAACAAGCACTTGCTTATTTCTTCTTGGATTATCTGTTTTAGCAATACACTTTTAAATCTTGCTGTTTTCCTCTGCTAAGTACTCAAGAAATAGAAACCCATTTTGTTAGCACTCGATTTAGCCTTATTTAGCATACAAAATTTCTGGCAACAAAAACAATCCTGTGGATAGAAGCATGACACATTTTCTTAAATGACCCTGCTTTAGATTGCACAGTACCCTTTCCCCTTCATTCTCACAGTGTGGTCCCTGGACAGCAACATCAGTATCACTTGGGCATTTGATAGAAAAGTAAATTACTGGTTCCCTTGACTGGACTTACTTAACCAGGAGCCCAGCAGTCTGTGTTTCAACAAGACCTCAGGTTTTCCAGATTCCCTGTGAAGCTTGACAACAACCTCTTTAGGGTTAATGGTGAGTCCCAGCTACAGCCGGTCTCAGAGTTCCCTACCAGCCTTCTTTATTTCCAGGATCAGATATAATCATGGGCACATAGGCTCAAGAGAGGCATCATTAAAACACTCACTGTTGAAATTTCTTTTTAATTTCTAGAGGTTTCTTCAGGACCTAACTGAGGCTGAGAAGTATTTTATTGGCTTAATGTACCATCGTGAAGAGAAAAAGTGGCGTTGGATCAACAACTCTGTGTTCAATGGCAAGTACGTGAACATCCCAGTTTCCTGGGGAATCTTAGTTTGCCTCAAAAGACCAAACCTGAGATTGATGGGTTCACGCTGGAATAGCTCAAATGCTGACACTTGACTCTGTTCTGCTCCTCTCCTTTCTCCCAACCCATTTATTCCCTGAGACACATTTTTATAAACTTTTTATTATGAGAGAGATCAAATTTTCATAAGGAGAGAGAAAAGTATTCATATAGCAAATTATTTTGTTCAAATCAAGATCCAAACAAATCTACATACGTAGCATTTGTTTTATTTATCTGTAGCTCTCTATAGATGCTAGTTTCTATAGCACTGAGCATTTCTGACTGATCAAAGGGGCTTAATGTGTTGACTTTAAACAGACTAGATATTAGTCTAGACTGGATGCTAGCTATCTCCAAGAGACAGGGTCAGGTTTATGGAGGCAACTCAGTTGGTATAGAGATGAGATCTCTTTCTATAATACCTAGCATTTCTCATTGATCAAAAGAGCTTAGTCTTTTAACCCATGGAAATTATATTCTAGATTTTATTGCAAAGTACCTACAAGTTTCCCCAGATGTGCCTTCTTTATCTAAAGAAAGGTTATTATAAGCAACTTAAAGCTATGAACTTCTGATTCTCAAGGGCTATCTATCTCCTGTGACTTGTTCCATGGAGATAAGCATTGGTGAGAACACCAATAATTTTCCCAGTGTTTATATGAAAGGAGTGATTCAGACAGAGTCAGGTCAGTCCCCTAGCTTGTAACTGATCTTCCCGACAGAAAGGAGGAAATTAATATTTATTCAGTGTCCGCTAATGCCGGCAGTATGCTAAACACTTTGCATATGTTGTTTCCTGAAATATTCCCCATGATGCTACATGAAAAGTTTTTATCACTCCCCATTTCACAGACAGTTGAATTGAGGACAAGAAAAGCTTAGAAATCTGTTAAATATCACAAAGCAGGGGCCAGACGTGGTGGCTCACGCCTGTAATCCCAGCACTTTCGGAGGCCAAGCCAGGTGGATCATGAGGTCAGGAGTTCGAGACCAGCCCAACCAATATGGTGAAACTTCATCTCTACTAAAAATACAAAAAAATTAGCTGGGCACAGTGGCACATGCCTGTAGTCCCAGCTACTTGGGAGGCTGAGGCAGAAGAATTGCTTGAACCCTGGAGTTGGAGGTTGCAACGAGCCGAGATTGCGCCACGGCACTCCAGCCTGGGTGACAGAGAGAGACTTGGTATAAAAAATAAATAAATTATATATATATATATATATATATATATATATAAAAAACACAAAGCTAGTCCAAAACTCATGACCTTTCTGTGAAACCAGAGTCTTTTCAGTCAGACCGAAACAAACTGAATGACAGAAAAAGAGGTGGGAGAATCAACACATACTCCACCAAGTTTTTCTGAAGCCACTATGGTCTGGAAAGCGATGCACAACGTCTCTCCTTTTTCTTTCTGTCCTCCCACTGTGAACACACATACTGCCCTCAACAATATTTTTGGAAGAAGAGACTGCCCATCAGATGCTTCTAACCAAACACCAGAGTGAGTTGATCCAAGACGTTGTCAAGCCATACAAGCTCACGGGAGAGCTGACAGGAAAGGGTCAGTTTAGAGCTGCATCTGGGGAACTGGATTAGGAGAGGGATTTGAGCTATAAAGGAGGCCGCCCAAGTAGAGGCGTGCGTGGGCCCCATAGTCTGCTGCCCTTCCAGGCAAAACTGCAAGACTCTCACTCTGGAATCAGGAAGAGGCTGGGCTAAAAAGATGGGCCATCATCATCCTTTAATTTTTTTTCTCATTTAGTGTTACCAATCAGAATCAGAATTTCAACTGTGTGACCATTGGGCTCACCAAGACACTTGATGCTGCATCATGTGACATCAGCTACCGCAGGATCTGTGAGAAGAATGCCAAATGATCACAGTTCCCTGTGACAAGAATCATACTTGCAACTCTTTCTGAATCCATGCAGGTCATCTGGCCAATGATTCTTTTACCTATCTGTCTACCAATAGTGGTCCTTGACTGTTTGGGAAACCAAGCTTCTTTCTTCTGCACCAGGGGACTGGATGCTAGCCATCTCCAGGAGACAGGATCAGTTTTATGGAGGCAACTCAGTTGGTATAAAGATGAGATCTGCTTCTGTAGCACTGAGCATTTCTGACTGATCAAAAGGGCCTAGTCTATTGGCAGAGTTTGTTTTATTCTGGTCTCAGAGTACATACCACACTACCAGGGAGCAACTGTAGACTGGGGAATTGTAAACATTATTTAGTGAGTAGCATGGTGGAAGAGGGATAAACGTAGCTCCTGCTACCTCATCTCTGTTCTCAAGGGAATCCCATTCACATGCCCCTTTCAACTCCACAAGCTGGAGTAGTAGCTCTCCTCAGTCTGAACTAAGACTATGCCTTGGGGAGGGCTCCTAGTGCTGAGCTTGGAGCATGGACAGCAGCACTGTTTATGGGAATGGAGAGAGGTCTGGGCAGGATAGGAACCTTCTTGGGGACCCCTTTGAAGAAATCCAGACAGCCAAGGAAACCAAACACACTAGATTTCTGTTCTTCAGCAAAGCCCTAAAGAGACACTCAAGCTAAAAATTTCCTTGTTGTATTTCTGAAATCCCATCATAACATATGTAATTCCTTTGCAGCCAAAATTTAGGTAAGCAGACATCATTTGCTCTGAAGTATTTGAGTACCTGGCTATAATTGTTGAGTATGTTTTAAGAATTTTGGATAGACTCTTGGGCATAATAATCTCAATGTATTTGTGCCTTCAGTTCTAGAGAGAGCCTGATACCAGGCACAGCCTAACTGACCCAAGAAGCCTGGCACTTGTTGGCATCATATTGATCTAGAAATGGTCCAACTGACAAAGCAGCAGAAAAAGAGGCTCAAGAAACATTGGCTGGGGGCAAGGAGTAAGCACTTAGTAGAAAGGGAACATCAGGGTCAAATAGAAATCACCGGAGACAAGAAACGGGCATTCATTTGGCAACACAGGGAGAAAGGCAAGCAAGAGGAAGAAAAGTATTGTATGTAGTACCCTGGCTGTCCTCTACATTCACAAGACATGAGCTACATACCCTGCTCGGTGCATGAGAAAGAGAAAAGAGATGCCTTGTGTGTTCTGAGTAACAATAATTAAACCATAAGGAAGACCATGTATAAAACTGAAGGAAATAATAGTCACCTAAATATACTGCTTACCATTTTGTGTCTAATAACAATGAACCACAGGAATTATTGTACATATCATTATATGCATACCAAACTAAATTGTTGTAAATTATGTTTTTTATTACAACACTAAGTTCTGTTTCTGCATTCCTAGGTTTCATCATTTTTGGCTCCTTAGCATGGCCACTTACAATTTTTTTTTTAAATAACGCACCAGGTGTCAGAACTTGCTTGAAGGGAGTTACCAGAAATAATTTGTGTTTGAAATGGGGTGGATATTGTAATTATATTAGTAGCTGGTGGAGATACAAGTTCTCTGACTGTGTTGGTAAAGAATAAGTGCTGCAGTTGGAGAGGAGAAATGAGGAGAAATGCCAATACAGGTGATGGGGGGATGGAGGCAGCAAACCACATTGCCATGTTTGTACCTATGCAAAAATCCTGCATGATCTGCACCTGTCCCCCAGAACCTAAAGTACATTAATAAAAAAAGAAGAAGAAGAAGAAATGCTACAATGAGAAGGGAAGAAAGGCTGAGTCCAGGTGGAGAAAAGAACCAATAGCACTCTAGCCAAAGGCAAGCCCTAGAACTCAGACAACAGAAAGGAAATCCTAATCCTTCTGTTTTGAGAAGAGAGAACTATAGTTGCTTCACTTCCTATTTCATGACAGAATAACTGCAAACTTTTAAGATCAGGAAATGTGGACATCTAGTGATGTCTTTAGTGGACAGCTTAAATTTCCCCCAAGATAAGGAGATATTTCTTTGAAGGTTCTAAAAGGAGCCCAGCGCCCTGGGGTGGGAGTGGGGAGTAGATAGGAAATATGTGGGCTTCGGTTTAAGTTCATCACTGGGGGAGTTGCTGGATCCTTGGAAGCTTAGTTAAATGTGATTTTTATTAGCTAGCAGTGGCCTGCTTTAAAAAAAAAAAAAAAAGCAATGAAAATTTAGCAAACCATTGAATTTGAGTTTTGACTTTGCTTCTAATATGCTGTGTGAATCCTTACAGTGTTCTTACCCTTTCTTTGTCTTAGTTTCCTTACTGATATAGTAGTAATGCCTGTCTCAAAAAATTCTTGTGCATATTAAATAACATTCCTCTATGTATCTCAATGACATTAGACAGGAGAAACATTTTGTGGAGGATTTGAAGTTGAGATCTTCATCCAAGAAGTAGCTTTTCAATTTGCTAAGCTTAATGTAGGCAAGCCACTTAATTTTTCAGAACTTGTTTACTTATTTATAATATGGGAATAAAAATATGTTCAAGTCAGAGAAGGGTGCTTTAAAAATGTTGTGGCCAAGCCACATGGAGATGAAAGGCACATTTTTCATGACTTCAAATGTGGCCCAGCCTAGGTCAGCCAACCCCCATCCAACCCTTAGACTCATGAACAAATCCACCTGAGATCAGCGGATCCACCCTCTATCAGCTAAAACTTGAAGCATGAAAATACACTCGGGAGGCTAAGGCAGGAGAATTGCTTGAACCCAGGAGGCGGAGGTTGTGGTGAGCCGAGATCGCACCATTGCACTCCAGCCTGGGTAACAAGAGCGAAACTCCGTCTCAAAAAAAGAAAGAAAAAAAAAAAGAAAGAAAAACATGAAAATAAGAGCTTATAGCTATGCACCACTGGAGTTTTCTGGTTATCTCCTGTATAGCAAAATCTAACTGATGCAATCGCCATCCGGCCTCCCTCCAACTCCCTTTATTGTCCTTTAGCGTATTGTCCATCCAGCAACCAGGATGATCTCTGTCACTCTTCTTCAGCCCCCCTGTGATGGTTTTCCAGTGTGCTTCTGGAAAGAGCAAACATCTTTCAAAGGCTCACAGGCTCTACATGGTCTACTTGCCAATGGCCGCTCTGAGTGCGCTTGCCGGCACTTTCTCCCTTGCACGCTCCATCTCAGCATCTTCGCTATGCCTTCCCTAGGATCTCTCACTTATTACTCACTATGCCTGGAATGTTCTTTAACAGGTTTCCAAATGTATCACCACCTTACCTCTCTCAGTCCCTCCCTGAAAACCTTATTTGAAATTTCAGCACTCCCCCAAGATCTATTCCCTTTCATTCCTACTTCACTTTTCTTCATAACACTTCTTCAACATCTAATATACTATTTTCAATAGCTTTATTGAAACATAATTCACATCCCATAAAATTAATTCATTGAAAATGTACAGTTCAGTGGTTTTTGGTATATTCGTATTTACAACCATCATCTCAAAGAAAGCCTGCACCCCTTAGCTATCACCATCCCATGTCTGCATTCCCCTCAGCCCTAAGCAACCACTAGTCTCCTTTCTAGCCTAGGTAGATACTCTATCTCTGACATTCATTTTTTTTCAAAGTTTAATTGTGAAATCATCATATCTGAAGAAAGGCAGATGACAGATAGATAGCCAGACATGTCTTAAAAATAATAAAGTGAACTTCAAGTAACAACTAACTATATTTAAAAACTGAAGCTGTAATTTAAGTCTTTCATTGCACCCAAATTATTTGATAATGCTAATAATTATGATGCAGTTCAAAGAATAGCAAGTTTTTTTTTTTTTCAGATTATTCTAGAATCCATACTAAATGCTTTACCATGTAAAATGCCTCAGAGCAGGGCTAATTCCTGAATAGTTGACAGCAGTGTTTCACCCTATCACGAAGGACCTCTGACTTTATCATTCCGGAGGGTGAAGATAAAAGGATTGAGGAAAGGAGTTTCTACTGAAACCATCAAGGAAACGACCCAATTGTAATCAGCTGCCTGCGTTTGCTTGGGTTTCACACAGAGAAACAAGCAGCTGCTGTAGCCGATCACAACACAGGTGAAGTGGGAGGCACAGGTGGAGAAGGCTTTCCTCTGGCCAGAGGCTGATGGGATCTTGAGGATGGTGGAGATGATGTAGGTGTAGGAGACAATTGTAGGGATCAAAGAACCAAAGAGAACAAAAACAGCCATTAAGAAGAGGATAAACTCTGTGAAAAGAGTATTATTGCAGGATAGTTTAAGCAACTGCCCTCGGTCACAGAAAAAGTTGTTCACCACATTTGATTTGCAGTAAGTAAGCTGAAACGTGGCATAGACTGGCCAGATTTGAAAAAGGAACCCAAAAACCCATGACACAAGAACCACAATGTTGCAGGTGTGTCTGTTCACAATGATGTTGTACCTCAAAGGGTTACACACAGCCACATAGCGGTCCACGGCCATTGCTCCAAGTAATGCAAACTCCGTTGTCCCCACAGCAAGGTACAGGAAGAGCTGGACAACACAGGCAGACAAAGATATTGGCTGCATTCCAGGCAGCAGCAATCCCCAAAGCATCACAGGAATGATTATGGTTGTGACCAGAATCTCCAGGACAGAGAGGTGGCCAAGGAAGAAATACATGGGGGACTGCAGACGTTGATCCATACAGACAATCACGATGATGACCATGTTTCCCATTAATGTCACCAAGTAGAAAAAGAATATAGCAAAAAGGATATGATGTGATTCTTCAGAGCCAGAGAAGCCAAGGAGATAAAATTCATTGGCACTAGAGTAATTCATCAACATTTAGTTCTAAGCCCTTGCTCCTTGTGAAATCCAGAGAGCAAAAGAGAGGGAAGTCTGCTTCTCATCCTAAAATGATTAAAGACATTTCAGGTTGAAAAGACATTCCTCTCCTGCTCCTCAACTCCATAACCTGACTTTACTATTTTCTACACAAGGTCGATATCAAATGCTTTATGAATATATATCTTCTGAAGATAAATTGTATGTGTTCAAGAAGATGAAATCCAGTCATGAACACCAAGTGATAAACATGAAAACCCGCCCACCCTGGCATGCACTCTTTCTCAGTACACTGGACATCCTGCCTCCAACTCTGCTCTCATCGGCCACTTGTCTACTGCCACAATCACAACCTGTTCACTTACACCAATGCTTCTATCATCTTGGATGGAGCTAAATTGTCTTTTCTGCCTATTATGTCTCCATCTTGCAAATCCTAATGCATCTAAACAATTATAAGAAAGCATTTATAGCCAATCTCACACAGGCATGGTTACTTTTGTCTTCTGTATCCTCTAAACATAGGCTCTATTTTCATTATGTTCATTTAAAAGTTTTCACCTGAGTTACATTTACCATTTAGGGGGGTGATGTTGGAAAGCAAGGTCCATCCAGGACATTGTCACAAGGCAAGAGCCATTTTAAGACAAAGTATTGAATCTTTCCCTGACTTCTGGGGTATTGGCTCCCTTAAGTGGATTACCTACTTCTTCTTCCTTCTTTTTATAATGAAAACCATCCCCACCTCTTATCTAAGTGAATGTGTCTCCCACACACAGGAAGAGTCTGGCCAATTCCCAGTTAACAATTTCTAGCTCTCAGATTTTGATTCCTCTTGCCACCAGATGGCAAAGAGATGGAGGAAAAGTCCAGGAGTGAAGAGGCTGGAACTTTAATCCCCAACTCCCAACACAGCCTCCTCCTAGGGCCGGGACACAAGAAAACAGCTATGGGGTAGAGGTAACATATCCTGTGTTGCAGTTCTCAGCAGCTGTTTCAACAGGGAGACAAGACCTCCCAATGGGAAGTCTGTGCCTGCATCCAACTTACCATGGTCTCAGTCTGTTAGAGCAGCTTGGAAGTTCCACGAAGATCTGCTCCTCTGTGACTGCCTATTTTCTCCAGAGTCCTGGGGTAATGAAAAGTGTCAGAAGACACCAAAATGGATCACTCTGAACTCCTTAGAATGTCTGGACTCCTTCTCTTGTTACATTCAGTTATTTGCTCAAATGCTTCCTCTTCATGGGCCCCTTCCCACTCAGCTTCTCTAAAACAATATAAGAATAGCTTTCCTCTCAAACCTGTTGTTAGGCTATATTTTTCTTACTAATTGTCCTCACCAATATTTCCAATCACATTATACTATTACTTCTTTATATGAATTTATCATCAAAATCCTATATTTAATACTTCATAGGTGGATCATTTCTCTTTCTTGTTCATTTTATCTCTCTTATATTACCAGTGCCAAGAACAGAGTCTGACACTAGTACAGAATATGTACTCTATATTTTAAATGAATATATCAGTGAACAGATTTAAAAAAAAATCAGTGAATGAACAAGGACTATAAGCCTGACTCTCCTTCTCTCCATTCATTCTTCTCTGAAGCAACATAAAGTCAACCTGCAATCCCTCTCCCTGGAGCTCCCCACCAATGTGGCAGGTAGATACATGGAAGGAATGGGAAGAAATGAGAGAGCAGGGACTTGGGCAGTGGCAAAGCATTGTGCCTCTCACCAGTACAGGGCAGAGAAGAAATGATTCTGCGCTCTGCTCTGGAGAGAGGCTTTGCTGTAGCGCTCATCCTCTGTGCAACCCCCTGTCCAGGCTTCAGGCTCTAGGTATCCTTGTTCTAGGAGGCAGCGAAGCCCTGGTCCTCCCATCATGATGCTCTCCTACTCTCTACTTCACAGAGAGGAGCCTCCTCTGGAAGACACTCACCTATGGAGAAGCAGCCCGGACTGGAAAGTTCTACTGCTCCCCAGGGACAAGCCCAGGCTACCTCCCTCCCAGCTAGTGCTGAGCTATGCTCAGGAGACAGGGACAGCCGCTTCTGTCTCTGTTCAGAGTCTGTCCTTGCACAGAAGCTTAGGCAAAAGTCCAGAAATACGAGTGCTGAGGAAAGAGTCCAGCAGTCTCTATCTCTCTCCTTCTCTTTGATTCCTTCTCTCACTCCCTTGTCTGTCTCCAAGGATAATTATTCACTGAGGAACAATTTATGTAAGTTCAGAGACACACCAGGGATGCTGTCAAGGAAAAGCTGCCAAAAACATTCACCCTTCCCTCCTGAGGTTAATCAAGTTTTAGAACACCGAAAAGTTGTCTAATGGGCAAACTTGAAATCTCCCTCATCAGGAACCTCTCAACACTCTTCAGGCTCTAAGTTATCACCATACAACCCAGGCTGTGAATGGTTAGGCCCCTGAGCTGCTCTGTGCCTCTCCCTGATTCCACGTGGCCCTATGGAGCCTAAGCTCCCTACTTGCCGTGATGGCCCCACTAGTGACTCCAAAGCACATAGCAAAATCCTAGAGGCCACCAAATGGAATTTTATCAAACATTTTCTCTTGATTTCCAAGTATTATGAAGCACATCTTTCCAGATGATCTCTGCATTCCTTCTATCAGAAACCATCTGTCTATGGGAACCATGGTAAGTAATAGACAGGATCTGCCACCTCCTCCAACCTCATGGACTGTTAATGCTACAGCCCATTCCAATGTGTGCAACATGCAGGCATTCCAACTGTGGCTTCTTGGTCATGGGAACTGTGCTGAAAACTGCCTAGGTGGCTGTACTGAGTCACGTTATGACAGGTAGAGAAATGTGAAGGAAGGGTGCTGAGAAATGAGGAAGTCCAAGGAGGATGGAACTTCTGTCTGAGACAGCAAATTACAGAACCAAATTCCCTAAGTCAAGAAATGGTTCAGTTTCTTCAGACATATTTCCAGGGTTATTAACTACATATTGGCAGAGTAGAAAATGGAACAGTAGGAAGGAATGTAAAATAATAAAACCCCATGGGAAAATGTTCGCTTCTTAACTTAAATATACACCTACTCTGTGACCCAGCAATTCTATTTCTAGGTAGTTACATAATACAAATGAAAACATGTTCTCACAAATATTTGTTATGATATTCATTATATATTTATTATAGCTAATAATAACAAAAATAAATACCCATCAACAAGATAATTCTATGTTCATATGAGGAAATACTATTCAGCAATGATTCACTACTTGCTAATTCAGTGATCCCAGAGACTTTATAAGACATAACTAATCCAAATAATAAGAGTCAACTACATGTTTATATAAGGGAATAATGGTCAGGGAAAAAAGTAACAGAATACTGACGTATACAACATAAACAAATTTCAAATATATTACACTACATAAAATGATCTGAGATCAAAATATGCTTACTGTATGATCCTAATGTAACATGCTCTAGAATGAACAAAATCTGTAAAAGAAACCCCACACGGATTGCCTTTGTTCTGGGAGGAAACTGACTGTGAAAGATTATGAGACGATTCTTGGCTATATTATCCTTTTTAAATTGCTGAAATATATTTGGCCTAATAAATATATTAGGTCTCTATGTTAATGAGAGATATTGGTCTATGGTTTGCCTTTCCTGTAAGGTCCTTGTCAGGTTTAAGTTATCATAAATTAATGAAAAAATAAGCCCTCTTTTTCTATTTTATAGGAAAAAAATATTTGTATTATTTTCCCCTAAATTGTTTGGCAAAAGTCATCGAGTACACTTAGGCAAGGAGTTTTATTTGTGAGAAAGTTTTTAATTACAGGTTGAATGTATTTAATAGCTATGTGACTATTCAGAATTTCTACTTCAGTTTGTGTCCATTTTGAAAAATTGTGTTCAAGTGAATTGCTTAGTTCATCTAAACCGTTGGATTTATTGGCATAAAGTTGCTCATATTCACTTTCACGCTTTCAAGGTTCACTGTCTCCATCATGATACCCCTTGTTTTTATTTCTGATATTGGTACTTTGTGTGCGTTTGTTTCCTTGATTATTCTTGCTAGGAATTTATTCATTATTTTTTTCAGAGACATTACCTGGGCTTTATTGATTTTTTTCTATTTCTTTTCTGATTTATATTTTAAGTTCACAAGGCAGTTTTTCCTGTGTATGGTTTCAAGTGGCTTTTCATAAGAACATCAGTCACATACTCAGGAGTCCACCCTACTCTATTATGACCTCATATTACCTAATAACACCTGCAACAACCTTATCTCCAAATAAGTTCACATTCTAAGGTACTGGGGGTTAAGTCTACAAGGCATGAATTTGGAGGCACAAAATCCAACCATAATAGACATCTTGATTGCCACTAACTTGGGATAATTACGAATAGAGCTGCTGTAAATATTTATGTAGTAGTATTGTTAACTATACACACAATGTTATACATCAGATCTCTAGAACCTTCTCATCTTGTATCATTAAAACTTTATACCTATTGAACAGCAATTTCCCATTTTCTGGTGGAGTCCACATAATTCAATTGCTCAATCTAGATTTACCAGTATTCAGAGAACTGAGATTGGAGCCCTGATTCTGGCACTGGAAAATATTTCTACTCAGCCCATAAATATTGTAAGTGGCCCAGCTAGCTCAGTCAGTAGAGCATAAGACTCTTAATCCCAAAGTCATAGGTTTGTGCCCCATGTGAGGCACCATCTGTGACATTGGTCACATTGGGATTACCACCTGCTGGGGTCTGTCCTCCAGTATTCCTGGAGACTAGGACTTGTAACTACCACAAATAATGAGAACCAACTATATATTCATGAGAAAATGATATTTAGCAATGAAAAATAACAAACTACTGATACACACAAGATGGAAGAATCGCAGATACATAACACTGAATGAGAGAAGCCAGACACCAAAGAACGCATACTATGACTCCATCACATAATGCTCTAGATTAGGCAAAAATCATTATTATCCATGTTTAAAGAAATCTCAACAGTGATTGCTTTGTTCCTGAGAGAATCAACTTAGAAAGATTATGAGGAAATGGTGGAATATATTCTCCCTTGTATATATTGCCATATTCTATTTGCTAACTTTTTATTCAGGATGTTTATGGTTATGAGAGATACTGGCCTGGAGTTTTGCTTTCTTGTAAGGTCTTTGTCAGGTTTTGGTATCAAGGTAATTTTGGTTATCATCAAACAAACTGGGAAGTATGTCTTTTATTTTATGGAAAAATATTATTTCTTCCTACATTGCTAAGAAGTGTTAATCAGTGAGAAAATTTAGGCCAGTAATTGCCTTTATAGAAAAGCCTTTATTTTTCATTGTTTTAAGTATATTTTCTTTTATTGACTTAAAACATCAATTTTAAATGTTGGCTCTTTAAGAAAAAAATTCTCCCCGTAAATATTATGCGTAACGATTGCCTGAAAATGTATACAGCTGTTTTCTAACATACTTATATACATAGTGGTTCACTTAAGACCAGTTCTGTTAGAACCTTCTGTATATAATGTGCTCTTAATTTATAAATGGGCTACCCTCAGCATATAAAATATATAGGCATGTATGTTATACAGACAAAGTAAAAAATATAAAAAGGAAAGATGTAAGAAAAAAGAAAGTGTACTTCCCTATACGATCCAGACAGAAAGTCATTATAATTAGTGGGACCATGGAAAATATCTGAAGGATTTCAGTTTTGACAAATACTTTTCAGGAAAATATCCAAGCTGTGAGAACACTAAATGTCTATTTTAATAATTTAGTAAATGTTTCTATTCAAACATTCAGTGAAGATGCTGCAGTCTTCTACTATATAGAAAAGTGAAAGCAAAGAGCTGCTCATTTTTGATAGGTTAGTAATAATATTTTAATCAAGTATATGTCATGCAGAGACTCAGAGCCTCGTCCAATAGTGTTTGAGTATGTTTGATGTAAGATTTCAATAGTGAGGATCCGAATTATTCCTAGATCTTAGAGGGAATGGAGTAAGATATTGTGGCAATGGAGGGGGTCAGTCCCAAAGATATCTGGCCTAACCTTCACTGTAGATGTCAAAAAAGAAAAAAGAAAAAAAAAAAGAAAGAAACCACAGATGTTTCCATGGTATTGTTTTTGCTGTTTTTTCTTTATTTTAAGCCACAGGTCTACTTGGAGGGTCATGCAGCAAGCGGCTTATAAATAAACTCAAAGTCTATGAACAGTGTCATCACATTAAGAGACAGAAATGCTGGATCCTTTCATTATGTAAGAAGCTCACATCTTGGGGATCCGTGAGTTGGTAATATTTATGGGATACCTGAGATGTACCTTGCTCCAATTAACATTACCATGCTACTCACTATAAAAAAGCCCAAGGGCAGACTGCAGAAGATACAAGGGTCACCACTTTCTGGAGTTTGAGTTGTAACCCAACCCATTGACTTCGTCACCGCTTTCTTCCATGTAGAATAACGAATTTCACTTTCCTCAGCATTAATCTGAGGTTCAAACCGTTCCATCGTGACGGTGGCCAAATCCTCAGGTTCAAGACTCCACACGCCGACTCCTTCCGCAGCCCCTGCTGCCATGGCGGCACCCAGTGCAGTGGTTTCAGGCATCAGGGACTTCACTACCGGAATGTAGAGAATGTCTGCTTGTAACTGCATAAGAATTTTGTTGCTGGTCATTCCTCCATCTACCTGCAAATGGCTGAGTGGAACTCCACAGTCTCGATTCATGGCATCCAAAATCTCTCGAGTTTGGAAACAAACAGCTTCTAAGGCAGCAAAAGCAATATGGCATTTATTGGTGAACTGAGTGAGTCCGCAGATTATCCCTCTTGCACTGGGCTCCCAATAAGGTGCATATAACCCCGAAAATGCTGGGACGAAGTAGCACCCATAAGAAGTGCCTACTTCTTTAGCAAGTTTTTCAATTTCTTCTGAGGTCTTTATGATTCCAAGATTGTCTCTTAGCCAGCGAATAACAGCACCAGCTATAGCTACAGAACCTTCCAATGCATAGTATACTGGTTTGTCTCTGCCAAGTTTGTAAGCCACTGTGGTGAGAAGGCCATGATCAGAAAATACACACGTATGGCCTGTATTACATAGTAAGAAACATCCTGTTCCATACGTATTTTTGGCTTGTCCATTCTGGAAGCACATTTGTCCCACCAAGGCAGCAGACTGGTCCCCTAAACACCCAGATATTGGCACACCTTCCAGGGCCCCAGCTTTCATTAGACCATAGATCTCAGAAGAACTCCGGACATTTGGAAGAATTTCCATTGGAATTCCAAAAAATTCACAGAGCTGTTTATCCCATTCCAAAGAATGAATATTGAAAAGCATAGTCCTACTTGCGTTTGTTACATCCGTATGGTGGACGCCTCCATTGACTCCTCCCGTCAAACTCCAGATAAGCCATGAATCAATAGTCCCAAAAAGCGCTCGTTTTTCTTTAACAGCCTTTTGAACTTTTCTCACATTGTCAAGGAGCCAACGAAGTTTCACGGCGCTGAAGTAAGTGCTAAGGGGAAGGCCTGTCTTGGACTTGACAAAGTTATTACTTCTTGGAATCCTTTTACCAAGACTCTCAACAGTAGACTGTGTTCTTAGATCAAGCCACACTACAGCATTGTAGAGGGGCTCTCCAGTTAACTTGTCCCAGACTACAGTGGTTTCTCTCTGGTTGCTGACGCCAATAGCTTTGATGTTGGAAATATCAATATTGAGCTGTCCGAGTTTCTCACATGTTTTCTCTATACACTCATAGACAGAAAGCAGGATTTCCTTAGGGTCTTGTTCCACCCATCCTTCTCTGGGAAACTCTTGTTTTATTTCCACTTGATGATGACTGAGCAGTTCAGCTGTTTTTGAATTGAAAACCAAAAAGCGTGTCGAACTGGTGCCCTGGTCCACTGCCCCCACCAATGGCCCCACAACTGCCTTATTTGAGGCTGCCATGAAACCAGCTTCAGGTCTGCGGGTGATTGCGGCCGGGTCTCCCGGGTGACGGCGGCGGGCGGGGGAGGGGCGAGTTCTGAGAGGGAGGCCTGCGTGTCCGCTGAATGCCTTTTTTTAAATTTTTAAGTCAACTCCCAAGTGCTTGGAAGTATAGAGAAGCTTTCAGTTACAGGCTGTGGTAGGCTGAATAATGCTTCTCACCAAATGATATCCAGATCCTCATCTTCAGAAACTGAATATACGGCACTCAAAAGGCATTTATACCTTGTATGTCAAAAAAAGATTTGAAAATATGATTACATTAAGGCTTTTGATATGGGAAGATTATCTTGGAATACACTGATGGCCTCTCTACATCTGGTAGTACTTCTTGCCTTAAAGTCTTCTCTTTCTAATATTGCATAACACCTCCAGGTTTCTTAAGCTTACTGTTTGAATAACTTTTTTCATCATTGTAATTTCAGTCTATCTTTAAAGTGTATCACATGTAGACATCATAGAATTGGACTGACAGTGTCTGATTTTTAATTGTAGTATTAAGTCAATTTACACAGAATATTAGCTCTTGATATTTTTATTTAGGTACACCACATTTCATATCTCTTTAAATTTGTCCTATCTATATTTTTTCTTCTATTTTTCCTTTCCTATCACCTTCTAGATTACTTTTATTTTAATCTCTTCATTGACACATTAGCTGTATCTTTTTTATTATAGTGTTTGTTATTGGGATTATAATATGCACCATTAAATTATCATAGTCTATTAGAGTTGATACTGCAACACTCTATATAAAATGTAAGAGCCTTGAAAAAGTACACTTATATTTGTGCTCCTGTCCATTAGACCATTATCATACATATTAAATCTATAGATGCTGTAGCCCCAAGAATATAGGATTATAACCTTTTCTTTAAAGATTCATGTGTCTTAAAAGAATTATAAGAAAAAATATTTTTTACTACTGGTGTGTAAGAATCTACTATATATCAATATATATATACTTACTATATATAAGTAAGGTCTGCTTTATTATGTTCAATCTTTTTATTCTTACTTTTTGCCCACTTGTCCTAAGGACTGAGAATAGTATTAAAGTCTCTCAATGTTTTTTATGTATTTATTTCTCCTTTCACCTCATGTAGTTTCTATTTTATGAAGGTAATTGTTACACGATGCACAGACATTCATACATGTATGACCCTACTGAAATTGGGCATTTAGAATTAAAAATCTTTTCACAGTTATCCATCTATTAAAAGCATACTCTTTGGAGGTGGGAGACAATTTGAAGTGGGAGCCAAATCTTAGAGCCTTGAGGATGAAGGGGAAGCAAGAGGCAAAAATTAGGGTCTTAACAAAAACATGAGTATCAAAAACAAGTACCAACTCATCCAATCCCAAAATAACACCACTCACTAAAGAAAATGTACAACATGTCTAGTAACAGAAAGCATTAACAACTATAGGATGAAACATAGTAAACCAGTCACACAAGATGACTCCCTTCATACAAACAAGTTTTCTTGCTGTATCAGGAAACCTCCAAAAACGTTGAAGCAACAGAAAATAATGAACATACATATAACACTTCTAAAACAACAAAATGAAAGGGTGAAATAAAATTTTCAGCTGAAAAAAATATTATCCAAATATTTACAAAATTGAGGAAGACTATAAAATAAGTCCCCAACATGAATTAGCCACAACTGAAAGGCATTTACGAATAGGAAACAACACTGGAAATCAGAATTTTTTAAAAACTTAGAAGTACACAAAAATAGCAACAGATGAAAAAAAGTCAAGTAAATTTGAAGAAGAAATTTTAAAATCTGTCAAAAATATTTCAGAAGTAAATATTAAATTACAAGGTGCCCAAAGAGGACTATATTTGAGTGAAATATAGTAAATGGCATTGAGAAGAGGAATGAGCAAAGCCAAAAAATTAAATTAAATTAAAAGATAGGAAGTGTGTAGAGGGAACTTGATCAATTAAAACAAACTTAAAACACAAAATAATCAAATATAATACATGAACTTTGATAGGATCCTTGATTTTTAAAAAAACTATAAATGTATTTGGGAAAATATTTGGAAATTGAAATATAAAGTATACCTTATTATTGAATTTGTTAATTTTCTCATGTGGGATGACAATAATATTATCATTTGGAGAATTTAGTGTCTTCTCAGTGTCAGAAATATAATAGATACTTAATACATGACATTCCTTTGCAAATCATGATGCAAATGAATTAAGAACATGGGAAGGACAGTGATTCACCAGACTACATCTCTACATGCCATCTTAGACTATGTAGGCAGAGGAGTAGCCTACATAAGCAGTCTCCAGCTGTGTTCACTATCAATGAGTCATATAAGAAATTTAAGTCAACTCTGATCTTTGGATTTTAAAAGAGACACTATAAAATTAATGTGCATCTAGAGATGGGCAGTCTGATGTTAAAAGGTCAAGGTTCCATATTAATTATTGAGATTGAAATATTTTGTACAGAAATTTTAAGATCTAAGCGGGAAGACACTTAAAAGCCAGTCCATGTAACTCAAAAGGGCAGAATTGGACAACGGGAGGAAGTTACATTTAGGTGGATTAGTTGATTAAATTTAAACAGTTGAATTCCTAAAGTTGTTTTTTCACCGTTCCTAGAGATGGTCGTGTTTCAATGTCCACCAAGTTATAATGTTATAAAGAAGGATTCCTGCACCTAGTGGCAGATGGATTTGAATGCCCTCCTCAGTGCTTTCTAATCTGTGGATCTCAGACTCAGTTGCATCACTCTCTTATTTGGGATTGTGATTCTTAGATGCTATTGTGCCATATAATCCAAGGAATCCATCTAGCAAGCCAGATTTCACATTTGAGCTATTATGCAAACACCACCCCAGAGTTTCTCAAATGACTAAATACACTCATGGTCTGTGACCAATGAAGAGAAATTTAAGGGGCTCGAAGAATCTAAGAATCAGTCTCACCAGAACAGATGTTCTCCCAGCCTCCAACATATCCTCCTTTACAGGTCTAATGAGATTATAGAAGCTGAACCATTTGTATCAGGATGATGCTGGCCTCACAGAATGAGTTTGGAAAAAGTCCCTCCTCCTCAATTTTTTACAATAGTTTCAGTAGGAGTGGCACCAGCCCTTCTTTATACGTTTGGTAGAATTTGACTGTGAATCCATCTGGCCCTGGGATTTTTTCTTGGTTGGCAGGCTTTTTATTACTGACTCAATTTCAGAACGTATTGATCTGTTCAGGGATTGAACTGCTTACTGAAAGCTGAACCTCTTGGTCTGGCTTACCTAGCTAGTTAAAATAAAGCTCAGGTTAAGAATCTTAGGGGGTAATTCTTAGCCCTTATCTCCAGAAATAAGACTTCTAAAAAGAGTGACCAAGAAAAAGGTCTTTAGAAAATTAATGGAAAATTCATAAAATATTCCTTTATGCCCTAAGAATAGAAAAATGTCTGCCTGTTAGTTCCCTAATATATTTTATTTTATCTATGAGATAGAGTTTTTCCTATGTAATGCAGGTGATAACGGACCAAATGTTTATCCTAAACCAAGTTCCCAAAACCCAGAAGTTAATACTTTATTACTTCAGAAAGGGAGAGCAAAAAAGAAAAGATTTTTTTTTGTTGTTGCTTGATTTCTGACAGAGGGGTATGATTAAGAGGTTGGAAGAGTTGCAGAAGAGTCTGTCGAGAAAAATCTGAATGATTTTGTGCCCCAATGTGTAAGCAGAAACCTAGTGAAGGTGTGGGCCCTCTGAAAAGGAGAAAATTGCTTTAATTCCTTACAAAGTTTTCAAGGTGGTGAAATAATTAGTCCCTTGTGAGTGAGTCAATGCAGAGAAACTTTCAGGTTGAAAAAAAAAATGACTTCCTGATTTAGAGATGCTTCCCAACATTTACAGATACTCAAAGATGGAGAGATTTCCACTTACATTCTGGTGGCATTTGGAGTTGATCTTTAATTAAGGATTTAACAGCTTTCTATTAACTAGAGTTTAATATCTACAGCTTGTATTCCTCTGATACACTAAGTGTGTACATGCATGCAAAGCATGTCCACAAATACCTGCATCTGCCCGACCTCTCCATTTTCCATCCCAGCACCAGCAGCCTTGGATCAGTGGGTGCCCTGCACTGCAGATATTCATGCTGCAATGATAAGGATGCTGCTCCTCTGGTAATAGTGTCAATGGCACTGACATCAAGGCCAAAGATGCTGGAAGATCTGCTCCATCAAAACTTGGAGGTACACAAAGAAGGAAGAGAACAGATAATTTGGAAAGAAGGAATCTAACACAGGAAACCTGTGAAGGGATGTCCCTGGCCAAGGACTCTGTCCCACTTCTGGAGTGACTTACCTGGTTCCTTGTGCTATTTAGGGCCTATTTGTATCTATTCTTTTTCTACTTTCCTAATCCTGACCCTTTTGCCAGGCTCAATGTAGTCCAAGAAAACAGTGAATTTCCCAGAGCTATGTGATCTGAGCTATTCATACATGCATCCTCTGCCTATGACTCCCTATGTACCAGAATCTCAGAGGAGGCATTTCAAAATCTGCCCTTTCTTCCTCCGTTACCTATCTCTTCCCACCAACATGCAGGTCTAATTCATTCTCTCCCACTGGTCAAAATTAAACCACATTCACTCTAAGTGGCCTAGTAACTCCCAGATAACCTAATAAGTCCAGAACCAGAAGACAGTGCATCAAGCATCAGAGAGACTCAAGAGTCCTAAAAAACAGATAGCTGACTCTTCTCCATGATGCAAGTTAACTTTGTAGGAAAATAAGAAATAAATAGCCTGCTCTTAAAATTATGGGGGGAAAGGGTTCATTCTAGCCTTTACAACCTGGCAAGTATAATGCTGAAAGAAAGCATCCAAGTATTCAAAAACACAACTCATATGAGTTTTCCCTTAGAAAGATGCTGGAAGATCTTCTCCATCAAAACTTGGAAGTAAACAAAAAAA